GCAGCCGGCTCCGGAAAGCTGGCCCGGAGCGGGCGTCACGACCCTTCTGGTGTTAGACGAGCTCCCGGAATCATCCTTTCGTCGCGCGCTTTCCCCCAAGTCACCTCCAGTCACCTTTACCACCTCGAGATACCAACCGCCTCGGACGCCGGCTGTGCCTCCTCGGCTCGCGAGGCTCGTGCACGCGGGAGCCGGGAGCATGCGCTTCGGGGATTCGCCGAAGTCCCTGTCCTCCGAGACACAGTGCGCACGCGCACGCAACGAGTCCCCAGGCCTTTTCACACGGGAATTCCTGAATTCCCAATCCTTATCCCCTTTTAGCGTGGCATGAAAAACTACTTCTAGTAATTTTTACTTTTGTCCTTTGTTTCCTCTTTCCCGTTTCTACTTTGCACGCACTACCATTTAATTCAATATATTATTTGCTCATTGTCTTCTCTCGCTAGAATGAAAGCCATATGAAGGTAAGGATTTTGTCTATTTTATTGCTGTATCCCCATGGCCTAGAACAGTGCCTGACTTATGTTAGGCACTCAATGAAAATAAATTCACAGCCTTCCATCTTATCAGATTAAAGCCTTTAAGAGCTGAGAAGACTGAGAAACTAAATTCTCAATTTTTTGGGGGGACACCTAGACTCCATTGACTTTTTTGGGTATTTTCCTATTACACCACAACTTCTTTTCTAACAGAATAGAGTGGAACTCTAAGAACATGGTGAAAATTGGTGTTATGGGAATAATTAACCAGTTTTTACTTTCATTTCTATTGAAACCTTATATTTTTAAAAAATATGTTTTTATTGGTTTTTTAGAGAGAGAAAGGGAGAGGGAGAGAAACATCGATGATGAGAATCACCAATAGGCTGCCTCCTGTAAGCCCCCTATTGGGGATCAAGCCCACAACCAGGCATGTGCCCTGACAGGGAATCAAACCGGTGACCTCATGGGTTGATGCTCAACCACTGAGCCACTCTGGCTGGGTGAAACCTTATATTTTTAAAATTTGGAATTTGTGACAAATTTGTCAAACCCAGTAAGCATTCCACGTGTACCTGCTTAATGGTTGACCAAACCAAGCAGGAGATTTCTAGGGCTAATGAAGCAAAATCCTGAGTATTGCTTGTATCAGTTTGTCATAATAAACCACCACAGACTGGGTGGCTTAAACTAGATATTTATTTTGTCACAGTTCTGGAGGCTAGAAGTCTGTGATCGGGCTGTGAGACATGGTGGATTTCTTCTGTGGACTCTATCCTTGTCTTGTAGATGGCTGGTTTCTCCCTGTCTTCACATGTCCTTTCCTCTGTGCTGTACATGTCTGTGTCCAAATTTCCTCTTCTTATAAGGACATACTAGATTAGGGCCCACTCTCATGACTTCATTTAACTTCATTCAGTTACCTCTCAAAAGACCCTATCTCCAAATACAGTCACATTCTGAGGTACTAGCTGTTAAGACTTCAACATATGAATTGGGAGGAGGCACATAATTTAGCCCATACCAACTGCTTTTTGTGAATTCCTTACCCAGAGAAAAGGAATGACAGAAATTCAAGAAAATTAAAAGTAATTATTCCAAAACATCATTTGAGCAGCTAACAAGTTGAACTTGTGGAATTTGTTCTTATTAGGTGTGCAACTTCCTGAAGAAAACTTCATGGAAACCATTCAAAGAAATGATTCAAAGTAACTGCTAACTTTTTCTTTCAGACCTCTTTAAATTACCTCAAAATTATCTTCCCACAGATGTTTACTGAGTAAATATGTCTTATTTTGCCCATAATGAATTTCACCCTACAGATGGTTCTGATGTGTTTTTATTAGAATTGTGTACAGCTGTAATCATTCCTTCCATCATACATAGTAACATTCAGGTATCTAAAAATAAAATAACTTACTGACAAATTCTAATATTACTCAGAATAATTCTATCTCTATTAACAAGAAAAGCAAAACCTCTGAGTTTCTCTTGGAAAATTTGAATTCAGGGCATTATTTTACAATTTGGAAATCTGAGTAATCCAACTTTAAGATGACTTTCTCATTGTTGAAGTTTGCTCTGTCGATGTGCGATTTGGGACTTCCTTTTGTCTCAAGCCATTCCTGCATATGACGCACTTTGGAGATGGGACCTTGCAATTGTCCTTGCACTGTGCCCTGGTCTGTGTTCTGGACCCAGCCTACCAATCCCAGCCTTTTACTCTCAGCCTAAGGGGAAGAAAAAAATAAGAAAGAGAAATCCAGTGAGATTAAACAAAACAAAGTGAGACTACAATCTTTGCCAGAATCTTGGTCTAAAATCAAGCCACTGAAACTAATTTGATATTGTCCAGAACAGTCAAAACAGAACAAGAAGAATCTCATTGCTGATTTTAATATGAAATGTTGGCCACTTCACTTTATTTCCTTCCTCTACCCTATAAAACCAAGCCAGAATTTTTCACTATGTAATACTAATGACTCAAGATAAAATCAGATGCTTTCAAAATGATTCCCTAAGGCTAATTATTGTTAGGATGCTGGGCTGTATGTATCTTATACATTTTCCCTTCTCCTAATCAAGAATCTCTTGGGTATATTAAGTAGAAAAAGCATCAAGTTATCTGATCCTTCTCTTTGTCTTTAATCAGGACCACACCTAAACAAATCCAGATGAGTAAGTGTCTTTTATATCTTTAAAGATCATTAGAGTATTTCACAATTTCCTGGGCAACTCATCCCATTGTTCCCCCTGTAGAGAAACTGTCTAACAAACTGTCTTTATGTTGCATCCAAAGCCCACTTTCTATCATCCTCCTAAAGAAGGAAGGGCAACTGGTAATCAGCCTCTGAAAACCAAAGTTTCATGAGATTACATAACGGTTAGGTTTTGCACTTTACTTTCTTTTCTTCTAAATTGAATAAGCTTATGAAGACCATCTAATCATTGTAGTTGCTCTTTTCTTATCCTTTCTAGTGTTTCTCCTTTAAGTCATTAAACTGTGGAATTGCCGAATATTTAGAAAGGTATACCAGTGCTTAGAGGTAATTTTATTTTTGTAAAATTTCCAAGTAAGGATATTATAAAAGTTATTGTTAAAGTAATACATCTAAATAGAAGGGATTGGGTTACAAAAGAAAATGGAGTTAACATGATTTTATGCCAGAGTAGTGACCTAGCAAATGTGGGAAATTGCTGGAGTTGGCCAAAGAAAATGTTATGCACAGCAAAACCGTGTTTGATGAGGAACTGAAATAGCCAATAAATCATATGTTCAAAGTAAAGATATAATGCATAATGAACAAAATAGATTGCAGTCAGATAAATAGCAATTTAAGGGATACAGAAGAAATTAAGGAATGAAGAAAAATAGGATACCCATAGCATGCTTTAAGTGCAGAACATGGTGACATAAAAACATGTGGAGCCCAGCCAGCATGACTCAGTGGTTGAGTATCGACCTATGAACTAGGAGCTCACACTTCAATTCCTGGTCAGGGCACATGCCCAGGTTGCAGGCTTGATCTCCAATGTAGGGAATGCTGGAGACAGCCAGTCAATGATTCTCTCTCATCATTGATGTTTCTTCTCTCTCCCTCTCCCTTCATCTATGAAATCAATAAAAATATATTTTAAAAAAACCAAATATGTGGAAAATGGATTTTGAGGAAGACTCCACATCCAACTGACTTTATACTAGTAAAGGTTAGGCCAGCATATAAAAATCAATACACCATATTAATAAATAAAACACCGTATCCTCCTATATAATAAAAGTCTAATATGCTAAGTGTCCAGTCGACCGATCGGCCATTCAACCAATCAAAGCGTAATATGCTAATGATATACTAAGGCCGCTCAACTGCTTGCTATGATGTGCACTGACCACCAGGGGGCAGTCGACCAGCTGCTATAATGTGCACTGACCACCAGGGGGCAGACACTCAGACCAGTTTAGCTTGCTACTGGGGTCCGGCCCATCGGGACTGGGTGAGATGGGCTGGACATGCCCTGGAGCCCTCCTGTGGTCCCTCCCTGGCCCCAATCGTACACCATTGAGGTCTCTCAGCCTGGCCTGCACCCTCTCACAAGCCAGGACCCCTCAGGGGATGTCGGAGAGCTGGCTTTGGCCTGATCCTGCAGGCCAGGCCGAGGGACCCCAGTGGTGCACAAATTCATGCACCGGGCCTATAGTTAATAAATAAAACAGAAACCAGATGATCATTCATCTTCAATAGATGAAGAAAAAACATTGATCAAATCCAACATTTTTTGAGATAAAAACACTCAACAAACTAGGAACAGAAGGGAATTCCTTAACCTGATTAAAGGCATCTGTGAAAAACCCACAGCTAATAGACCTAATGGTTAAAGACTGAAAGCTTTTGCCCAAAGATCAGGAACACGACAAGGATGTCTGCTCTTGCCACTTCTATTCAACATTAAACTGGAGGTTCTAGCCAGGGCAGTGGAAAAGAAAGAATGCATTAATGGAAGAAAGGAGTAAAATTACCTCCACTCACAGATTACATTCCTTGTATGCAGAAAATCCTAAGGAATGTACACATGCGTGCTTGCGCGCACACACACACTAGAACTAATCAAGTTCATAAGGTGGCAGGATACAAGATCACTATACAAAAATCAACTCTATTTCTATATACTGGCAATAATGAAAATGAAATTAAGGAAACAATTCCATTTATAATAACATCAAAATAAAAAAATTATAAATAAATTTAATGAGAGACCTGGAATACATATGGAAAAGTACAAAACATTGTTGAAAGAAATTAAGGAAGGTCTAAATAAATGGATAGACATCTTATGTTTATAGACTGGAAGACAATATTATTAAGATGACAATACTCCCAAAATTGATCTACAAATGCTATGCCATATTTATCAAAATCCCAGCTGCCTTCATAGCAGAAATAGACAAATTGATTCTAAAATTCTCATGGAAACATAAGGGACCCAGAATAGCTAAATATAATCTTTATAAAGAATAAAGTTGAAGGACTCAAATATCCTGATTTCAAAATTTACTACAAAGCTACAGTAGTCAGTAGATAGTACAGTACTGGCATAAGGATAGACATATAGATCAATGGAATATAACTGGAGTCCAGAAATAAGCCCTTACATTTATGGTCAATTGATTTTTGACAATGGTAACATGACAATTCAGTGGGAGAAATTTTAGTCTTTTTGACAAAAGGTGCTGGGACAACTGATAGTCACGTGTAAAAGCATATAGCTGGACTCCTTACCTCAACGCACATAAAAAATTAACTGAAACTAGCCTGTCCCGCGTGGCTCAGTGGTTGAGCGTGGACCTATGAACCAGGAGGTCATGGTTCAATTCCTGGTCTAGCCTGGACTTAGGGCTCGATCCCCAAGTGGGCGTGCAGGAGGCAGCCGATCAATGTTTCTCTCTCATCATTGATGTTTCTCTCTCTCTATCCCTCTCCCTTCCTCTCTAAAATTAATAAAAATATATTTTAAAAAAATAACTGAAACTGGGTCAAAGACCTAAAGGTAAGAGATTAAACTATAAAACTCTTAGAAGAAACTTTTAGAAGAAAACATAAGCATGAACCTTCTTTCATTACCTTAGATTAGGCAAAGAATTATATTCCAACTTAGATATAAAACTAAAGTCACAAGCAACAAAAGAAAAATAAATTAGACTTCATCAATATTAAAAATATTTGTGCTTCAAAGTTTTCATCAAGAAAGTGGAAAGAAAACCTCAGGAGAAATATTTGCAAATAATTTAAGAGACTAATATCCAGAATATACAAAAATTTTTACAAATCAACAATAAGACAAATAACTCAGTTAAAAATGGGCAAAGGGCCCTGGCTGGTTAGCTCAGTTGGTTGGAGGGTCATCCTGTACACCAAAAGTTGCGGGTTCGATCCCAAGTTGAGGTTTATACAAGAGGTAACTGATGTTTCTTTCTCTTTCTCTTTCTCTTTCTCTTTCTCTTTCTCTTTCTCTTTTTCTCTTTCTTTCTCTTTCTCTTTCTCTTTCTCTTTCTCTTTCTCTTTCTCTTTCTCTTTCTCTTTCTCTTTCTCTTTCTCTTTCTCTTTCTCTTTCTCTTTCTCTTTCTCTTTCTCTTTCTCTTTCTCTTTCTCTTTCTCTTTCTCTTTCTCTTTCTCTTTCTCTTTCTCCCTCCCTTCTTTCCTTCCTTCCTTCCTCTCTTCCTTCTACCCTCTCTAAAAATCAATGGAAAAAATACCTTTGGGTGAGGATTAACAAAAAACAAACAAAAAAGTGTATGATGTAGTTTCAATATATTTGGAGATTTTTCCAGTTATTTTTCTGTTATTGATTTGTAGTGTAATTCCATTGTGGTCAGAGAACATGCTTTGTATGACTTCAATCCTTTTAAAGTCATGGGTATCTCAAAACAAAACAAAACAAAAAAACCACAATGAGATACCACTTCACACACACTAGGATGGCTCTAATAAAAAAGACAGACAGTATGTTGGCAAAGATTTGGAGAAACTGAAATTCTCATTGATCATGAGAATGCAAAATGTAAAATGATACAGCTGCTTTGGAAAATAGTTTTGCTCTTCCTCACAAAGTTATATATGGAGTTACTATGTGACCCAGCAAGCTACTCCTTAGCATATATACCCAAGGGAATTGAAAACAATGTTTGCATAAAAGTGCATAAATGTTCACAGCATCATTATTCATAACTAGAGGCCCCGTGCACAAAAATTTGTGCACTCGCGGGGGGGGGGGGGGGTCCCTCAGCCCAGCCTGCGCCCATTCACAGTCCAGGACCCCTTGGGGGATGTCCACCTGTCGACTTAGGCCCACTCCCTAGGGGATCAGGCCTAAGCTTGCAGTCAGACATCCTTCTAGCAGCCAGGAAGCCCTTGGGGATGTCCGACTAAAGGCTTATGCCCCCAAGGGATCAGGTCTAAACCGTTAGTTGGACATTCTTAGTGCTGCCACAGAGGTGGGAGAGGCTCCTGGCACCACCACTGTGCTGGCCAGCCATGAGCCAGCTTCTGGCTGAGTGACACTCCCCATATGGAAGTGCACTGACCACCAGGGGGCAGCTCCAGCATTTAGCATCTGCCCCCTGGTGGCCAGTGTGCATCATAGCAACTGGTCATTCTGCGGTTCAGTCAATGTGCATATTAGCCTTTTATTATTA